ATAGTTCGGTCTGCACCCTCCGCCGCTCTTGAGTCCTGCCATTAGTCCGTTCTACTCACCTGTTTGTCCTGGTCTCCTCCGCCATTTCTGCCCTACTTTGCTGATATATGTACATGGACACGTTATTTTTGTTACTTTGTATTGTTCCATTAAACCCCCTTTTCTCACTAGCACCTGGGTTGGCACACTTGAGTCCTACCTCGGTTCTCCCTCACCCTCCTGGTGAGGGGGACTAAACCGTAACACAGCCATGTTGGTGGCTATGACTGGTAGGAAGAAAATAGCCACAATAATCAGATGAGAAGTACAAGTTTTCAAAGCTTTGAGTCCTTCCTGTCCTGATGCAATCCTGCTCAGTGCTATAGCAATGCAAATATATGTCAGTGCTATCAATATAGGAGGAAAAGAGACAGTTGTAATAATAACAAGTGCTGTTATATAATTTACAGAGTTGTCATTACAGGCCAGATGGAATGTTGGTCCATGGTCACAGAAAAAGCTTTTTATCACCACAGATCCGCAGAAGAAGAGACAATTAAGAAATCCAACCATGCATGTTATTAGACACGATATAAAAACCCACACAAACAGCAGCATTTCAACAATAGCTGGTTTGGTCACAATACTGTGGTACATTAAAGGAAAGCAAATTGCTATACATCTGTCATATGCCATAATCACAAGTGTCCATGACTGCACACCTAAGAAGAACCAAACAAAGAACATATAACTTAAACAGGCCTCATAGACAATGTATCTGCTATCAAACAAAAATGTGTCCAAGAGTTTTGGGATGAGAGCAGTGCTCCAACACAAATCTGTCAAAGCCAGGTTGAACACAATCATGTATTTAGGAGTATGAAGAGTGTTGACCAGGTAAATCACTGAGAGGAGGAGGCCATTCCCAAGAACAGTCATATATATATATAGACAAAACACAGGAAGATATAAAAAATACTGAACATGAGGGACATCAGAAAACCCACTGAGATAGAATTTTACAGGGTAAACAAATGTAGCATTGGATAAAATAGCAGCTTTCTCTTGTATGTGCATTTTTTTCACTCAGTGTTAAAAGAGAAAACAACATATAATAAAGGATAATACAGTTCACTGAAGGGAACTGTTATAACTGAATTCACCTCAGACAGCAGGTGTGGAGTTTCCTAAAGTGAGAGACCTGTCTTTTATATTTTATCCCTTTCATTTGGGACAGTAAAAATGCAAGTAGCTGTGCCACATGATCATGAATCAGTGATATATTTAAATATGTAACTGTCTCAGAGTACATCATCTATGAGATGATCCAATCGACTCAGTTGACTGTCACCAGGATATTGAAGTATTTGTTAATGGCAGTGTAAAAATAGGACAAATTTACAACAAATGTTATTATATGATTAGTGATTTTCATACTGAAGAAAAGTGAATAAACAATGAACTCTGTATTCCTTCAAAAATGCCTTCCTGTGTAGACTCAAAACATAAATTTGAAGGCAAAATCATACACCAGGTACAACACGAGACTGTGTGAGTGTGTGGATTCAGTAAAGGGGGACTTTTATAATTAGTAAGAAACAATTAATCTGACATTACCAAGAGCAACCTAGCACAACATAACACAAAAAACATCTAGATAATATTGTTTTGTCAATATCGCACACCCCTATATGGGAGTTTTACATCAAAGACCTTTTGGCCAAATTTGTCAGGGCCGCTCGGCGGCCGCTGCCTCTCCTCTATCTTTCTCTCCTCTATTTTCTCGATCCTGTGGGCTCTGCACCTCAGCTGTGTTGCATTCCAGTAATTAGCAACTGGTTTGTCGATGCACACAGCTGGGGTGCATCCCGATGATTACCTTCTCCTCCTTATTTATACCACTGACAGATGCTCCAGTTTCGCTGGAACATTAACCAAGTACCGCGTAATGTACGTGGATAGAATGCTACGCTGACAGTTTCTGTGTGTTTTGGCTTGACTCTATCACACCACTTATGCGGTTAGCAATACATGCCTTTGTTTTCCACGCTGACAGTTCCTGTGTTGTGGATTGCATTGTGTACACTGGTCTTTTTGTTCTTTCACCTGTCCGTCTTCATCTTCCTGCCCTTTTGGTTTTTGCGTCAGTCCCTGGATTCCCCTGTTTGTTTCCCTCCACCATCTTTACTCTACCTGGACTTTTATATACTTGGACTTTGTTATGTTCTTTTGATACTCTGTGTTTTTTTGTAACCAGCAACCAACATGTTTTTTCCCCTAGCACCTGGGTCTGCAAACTTGAGCCCAACCTCAGTCCTCCCTCACCCTCCTGGTGAGGGGGGCTGCCATAACAAAATTGGTCAAAAGACCTCAGACTAGTTTGTGTCCAAGGAGAATTTCTGTACACATTCATGGGTTTACACTATAAACCACTGCTATAAATTACTGGGAAAATAAAACACATGCAGGGGCTAAGATGAAAATCCATTTGATAACGTACCAGTGCAAACTGAAAGCTCTTTGATGAACACTGCCATGACCAGCATTTAGCAAGCTGTCCAGGCAACCTCCCATAGCTTTTATGACACTTTCAAGATTGCTATGAAATTCAGGTCTCTCTCTCTTCTTTAAGTGCGTCACCTGCAGAAAACTGAGAGGCAAGCTGGAGGCGCAGAAAATGTCTGACCTTCCTGCCGACCGAGTCACTCCAGAACTCCCTTTCACCTCTGTTGGCATGGATGTTTTTGGCCCATGGACAGTTGTTATGCAGCGCACGAGAGGCGGCTGCACTCAGAGTAAACGGTGGGCTGTACTCTTCATGTGTATGTCAACTAGGGCTGTGCATATTGAGCTGATTGAAGCAATGTCGACAGACAGTTTTATAAACGCACTAAGGAGGTTCTTTTCTGTTCGTGGACCAGCTAAGATCCTGCGTTCAGACAGGGGTACCAATTCTGTGGGAGCCTGCAAGGAACTGAGCTTAGATACCGAAAACACAGCGTTAACAACGTACCTTCATGAGAAAGGATGTTCTTGGGTGTTCAACCCCCCTCACGCATCTCATATGGGAGGGTCATGGGAACGCCTTATTGGTGTAGCCAGACGCATTCTGGACGCAATGCTGTTACAAAATGGATCATTCAGAGAATGATAAGCATCCTTTGATCATTCCAGCTGGTAGTCACATCGCCACATTACTGGTTAGATGGGTCCATGAACAAGTGGCTCATCAAGGACGACACATTACTGAAGGAGCTGTCCGTGGTGCTGGATATTGGATAGTCGGAGGTAAGCGCCTCGTAGCCGCAGTCATTCATAAGTGCGTCACCTGCAGAAAACTGAGAGGCAAGATGGAGGCGCAGAAAATGTCTGACCTGCCTACTGACCGGGTCACTCCAGAACCCCCTTTTACCTCTGTTGGCATGGATGTTTTTGGGCCATGGACAGTTGTTACGCGGCGCACGAGAGGTGGCTGTGCTCAGAGTAAACGGTGGGCTGTACTCTTCACGTGTATGTCAACTAGGGCTGTGCATATTGAACTGATCGAAGCAATGTCGACAGACAGTTTTATAAACGCACTAAGGAGGTTCTTTTCTGTTCGGGGACCAGCTAAGCTCCTGCGTTCAGACAGGGGTACCAATTTTGTGGGAGCCTGCAAGGAACTGAGCTTAGATACCGCCAACACAGCGTTAACAACGTACCTTCATGAGAAAGGATGTTCTTGGGTGTTCAACCCCCCTCACGCATCTCATGTGGGAGGGTCATGGGAACGCCTTATTGGTGTAGCCAGACGCATTCTGGACGCAATGCTGTTACAAAATGGATCATCACGCATCACTCACGAGGTTTTAAGCACCTTTATGGCAGAAGTTATGGCGATTATTAATGCCAGGCCTCTTGTCTCCATATCTACTGACCCGGACTGTCCTGGCATACTCACCCCAGCTGTGTTGCTCACTCAGAAAATGAGCGCAGTCTCAGCACCCTCTGGGAACTTTTCTTCAGGACAGTTGTTCAAAAAACAGTGGAAACAGGTTCAGAACCTGGCAGACACATTTTGGAAAAGGTGGAAGAGAGAATATTTGTCTGCCTTACAAAGCCGCACAAAATGGACTGAAAGCAGGGCCAACATCAAAGAGGGAGATGTGGTTCTGTTAAAGGATGTTCAAGCCAACAGGAATGAATGGCCTATAGGACTAGTTGTAAAGGTCATTCCAAGCAATGACAAGAGGGTCCGCAAGGTGGAAGTACGGACTGTGAAAAAAGGTACTGCTACGGTGTACCTAAGACCAGTCACAGACATTATAGTTCTTGTTTCAGAGACTGAGTAAACCTTAATGTTAATTCACACTGTTTGAAAGATGTTTATATGCATATTGAAAATTGTAGTGATATAATTTCATTATCTCAAGCGGGGAGTGTAATGCCTTTGGTTAAGATATAAGTTAAATAAGTTAGAACAGTTCATAGTTAAAAGCACAAATACAATAGTTAGAATCTTGGTGTGGAAAAACTCATCAGAGTGAGAGGTCTTCACGCTGTGTATCTCTGGGATAGCCAAAAAATAAGGAGTGAGAGCTCACACTAGAGTTAGAATATCTTGGACGTCTTTGTTGGAAGAAGTTAACAGTTTCTCCTCAGTATTTCCAAACATTTCTTGGACTCATCATTCTTCACCTAGTGCTTGTCCTTGTGGAATTCTATGTCTTTGTAAGTGGTGCTGTGTTAAGTAAGCTCTTTCTGTTGTAGTAATTGCTGTCATTTTACGTGTTGTGTTTCTGTGTGCTAATGCAGCTGGGTTGATGTTTGACGTAGTAACGTCATGTATGCTAATTTGTTTTTCCATTTCATCTGTTTAGTTACAAGTATAATATAAGGATAAACTCCATTAAACAAGAAAAGCAAGCCTTGTGTGGAGCTTCAACCTTTTATTTGTTCGCTGGCTGTCTAGTGTCACGAAAGTAGGCGTGAATCGAGGACAGCACAACCGCCATGACCAGCAATTAGCAAGCTGTCCAGGCAACCTCCTATAGCTTTTATGACACTTTCAAGACTGCTGTGATATTCAGGTTTCTCTTTCTCCTTTACAGTGAAAACATTTTAGCCAGGATTTTAATGAGCAACAATGAAGAAAAGTCATATGAACCTGTCAATAAACCTGCCACTGATGGAAGGTGACTTTTTACCAAAAATGTGATTTTACGCAGTAAAGCGTCACATGGTCATACCTAATTTTATTTTGCAAGACAAATCATTACAAGGATAGTGCAGTAAATACAGTAAATGGCAATAAAACATAATCACAATTCAAAAATAAAAATGTAGCTCTTACCATTAAGAAGTTAATAACAAAACATTACAAAACAGATTTATGTTAATTCTGTCAATACAACAGAGATAAAGAGGTCACCTTTTTTGGAAAGGGATTAGGTTGTTGTTAAGAAATTGTGCTTTCCTTAATTCTCTATAATATATGAACAACCATCAATGAGTGAGAAATAAAGAGAGTTGAGATGGATACGTTTTTTGTGTAATTTATTTCTGCAGAAAGGAGTTGTCTACAACAGCACTCAGAGAGGCATGTCACAGAGACTCAAAGAATAAAGAAGATTCAGTTAAATATAAAGCAAAGGATAACATCACACAAAAGGAGTGCACACTGAGAACAATCATGCATCTATGAGTTTCAAAGGAGATTCTTTCAAGGACTGCGGGTGTTACAGTTGCTTGTGCAGTAAACAAAGATACCTCAGGCATTCAATGTGTCAGCACAAAGCAGAGTTCACATGTCCAGTTTGTGAAAGGTTATCACAGTTTGTTACCATAGTTGGTAGCAGACTATAGTTTAATATGTAAATGAACAATATAAATGGATATACTGAAAATTGCCATTATAGTTATTCATCCTAATAGCTTTGCAAAATTTCCTTATAAATTTCAGCACTTCATCTGTCTTCAAAGAGTAAGTTTGGGCTTTTCATTCAGATTTTAAAGAATGCAGCATAATATTTGATGCGCTTGTTGGTCCAAATATGGGTTGATTTATGTTTTTTTTTAATAGACAAATTAATCTGACAGAAGCAAGGAAAGTTTGGAGGAAGAGGTCTTTGTAGAGACCTTTATGGAGTCAGGTCACAGCTGTGGGAGAGAGGGGAGAAGCAGACAGGGCCTCAGAAGGCAGTGATGAAGAGAAAGCAGAGACAGATTTGAAACTCCATATTTCACAGAGCCTCTTTCAAAAGACCTGGACATGTAGTGTATATAGACCTGATCATTTTCGATTATTAGGTCAGTTCAAATTAGATGTGATCATTACATTATTCTAACTTCTAAATATGATGGGAGGAACCTTAGAAAATTAGGTCCATTGTTTTATGTTAGACTAATTCAATCTTGTAACAGTTTCACTTTGACAAATCAATTCTCCATAATTTCATTCCTAGGCCGCTTTTTGTTGCCAGCCTGCCCCTGCACTGATTTCATTTTGCAAGACAGATCATCATATAGCTAATGCAACAGTAAAATACAGCAAATGACAAAAAACCCAACATAACCATAATTTAAAAGTAAATATGCAGTACTTACAACTAAAAAGTTAATGGTAAAATGTTACAAACCACATTTGTGCTAAATATGTCAATGCGGTGACACAGAGGTTGCCTTTTTGGACAAGGTGATGTTTCTCATCCTAATGGGTTTGCAAAGCCTCCGGATAGAGCTCAAAACTTCTTTTGTCTTTAAAGAGTAAATAATAGGATTGAGCAAAGGTGGTATGATGTGTGTCAAAGCTGAGTTTATGATTCTGGTATTAGGATGGATGTAGGAGGTCATTACAGCTATGTTCGTGCCCAGGAGTGGTATGAAAAAAACTGAAACAAGAATCAAATGAGAAGTGCAAGTTTTAAATGCTTTGATTCGTTCTTTTTCTGATGAAATCCTGCTCAGTGCTATGGAAATGCAAATATATGTTAATGCTATCAGTACAGGAGGAAAACAAAATATTACAATTAAGACAACAAATGCCATGGCATAATTTAAAGAGTTGTCATTACAAGCCAGACGATATGTTGGCCCATGATCACAGAAAAAACTTTGTATCACCACAGATCCACAGAAGGAGAGACGACCAATTAGCCCAACAATAAATGCTAGTAGACTCAATAACAATACCCATGTAAATGCCAGCATTCCAACAATAGCTGGTTTGGTCACAATACTATGGTACATTAAAGGGAAGCAAATTGCTATAAATCTGTCATATGCCATAATCACAAGTGCCCATGACTGCACGAATACAAAGAACCAAACAAAGAACATATAACTTAAACAAGCCTCATAGACAATGTATCTGTTGTCAAACAAAAATATGTCCAAGATTTTTGGGATGAGAGCAGTGCTCTCACACAAATCTGTCAAAGCCAGGTTGAACACAATCATGTATTTAGGAGTATGCAGAGTCTTGACCAGGTAAATCACTGAGAGGAGGAGGCCATTCCCAAGAACAGTTATGATATAGACAAAACACAGGCAGACATAAAAATATTTAACATGAGGGATGTCAGAAAACCCACTGATATAAAATTTTGCAGGGTGAACAAATGTGGCGTTAGACATTGTAACAGTTTTCTGTTCTGGGTTCACTTTGTGTTACCTTGGATGCTAAATGTAAAAACAACGCAATATTTAATAAGGGGTCACACAGTTGACTGGTGGGTTATTGTTGTAACCAAGCTTGCCTCAGACACTATCAAGAATGCTACTCCCTAAAGTGAGCTGATTTTGAGAGCGCTGACTTTTAAGCTTCTCCTCTGTCATTTTGCGACAGCAGAAACACAGCTGCATCATGTGACCGTAATGAAGATAATATACTTCAACTGTGTCATTGTTTGTCATCAGCGAGCTTTTGGAATTGACTTAGTTGACTATTGTCAAACATTTCATCAGGTTTTGTGAGAAAAATCTGTACAGTGAACTAATAGTTGCATTAGGCGATTTTTCATTCAGAAGAAGCCTGTTAGGGTTTGCCCCCCTCGCCAGGAGGGTGAGGGAGAACTAGGGGTAGGACACAAGATAGCTGACCCAGGTGCTAGTACAAAACAAAGGTTTAATGGGACAAAATAAGACAACACCAACGTAACAACAAAACAGGGTCCGTAATACTGACAACAAACGAAGGGCAGTGATAATAAAGGAGGGGCAGTGATGACAAAGGGGACCAGAACGAACAGGTGCTCACACAAACTCACGGTAGAAGAACAGGGTAAGTATTCTCAAAAAGCCAAGCCACGGAGACGAATCAAAACTGAGGGTGTGTGTAGTGTAGTGTCTATGTCGTGTAAATGGAGTCAAGCCAAAACGCAACAGTAACTGTCAGCGTAGCATTCCATTAGGACATACATAACAATGCACCACGGCTGAGGTGCAGAGCCCACAAAACGGAGAAAACAAAGAGACAAAAAGGAGGAGAGGCAGCGGCCGCCGAGTGGCCCTGACAAAGCCAATGTTTCAGTTCTTATCCTAATAAAAGCACAATGCATGATGCAAATGTAATACCAATAAAATTTATGTTCACAAACAGCACATTTAAAGGTTTATACATTAGCTGTTTATTGTCACTGTTCATTCATAATCATTTAGCCATTATTTTATTTTAATCCAATTTAAATACATTTATACCTTATAAATATAGCATTGATTTGATTTGATGTTTTCTGTGGCCATGGGGTCAGCAATGTCTTGTTGCTAGTAAGTTGACTGACAACCACAGTTGCTGAAAAGTTAAAAGGACTTCCACATAAAAGTGAAGGACTATTGCACACTGAGGAAAGCAGAGTCAAATTGTACATACAAGTCGTGAAAAAATTAGGACACCCTTTGAAAGCATGTGTATTTTGTAACATGTTTTAATGTATGGTTATTTAATCTCAATTTTAACAATACAGAGAGATTAAAGTAATACAGCTAAACAAGTAAAACTGAAGAAAAGTCTTTTCAAGATCTTCTGTAAATGTAATTCTACAAAAATGCCTATTCTGAGGAAAAAGATAGCACACCCTAGCCCCTAATAGCTAGTGTTAGCCATTCCAGGACTCTCCATTTCTTCTTTTTCAGCCAGTCTTTGGTTGATTTACTAGTATGTTTTGGGTCATTGTCATGTTGCATGGTCCAGTTCTGCTTCAGCTATAATTTTCTAACCGATGGTCTCACATGTTCTTCAAGCACTTTCTGATACTGTGAGGTGTGCATGGTGGATTCTATGATGGTGAGCTGACCCGGTCCTGCTGCAGCAAAGGCGCCCCCAACCATGACACTTCCACCTCCATGCTTCACAGTTGGTATGAGGTTCTTTTCCTGGAATGC